ATCGCCATTGAGCTCCGCGAGTAGTGCTTGAGACAGCGGTTAGAAATTGATTTTCGAGTTTCGGAGCACCCGCCGTGTGTCTTGTATTACGACACGCAATTTCAATCGTGGCCTCAGTTGCCTTTGAAGTCAGCCTCTGCCGATACCTGATGAGTCTAAACGAAGACGAAACCATGGGTCGTGAAGTGCAGGGTTGTTAGAGATCCACACCGAAACCCTCCTCTTCCACCCTTGTTCTCCTGATTACTCGGGTCCTGCAGAGTTCTGTCCTCGGCCCCGAACTTTTCCATGTCTTCATCAACGACTTACCTTTCGTGCTCATGATGGGCTACCTAATACACGTTAATGACCTGAATCTGTGTATGGAGGTATCCAGCTTGGAAAATTGTGACAGATTACAATCGCGCTCAACCTGCACGATATTTTTATTATTATTCCTTATTATTCAACAGTTGACCAATATGCAAATGGCATGTCACAACATATGGTTAACAACAACAAAAATAGGAGAAACTGGTAGTCAGTGTAAGTGTTTGAAAGATTTATAAGCTTCACGCGCTCCACCATTGGTCGCTAAAGTGACAGTTACCCATGAAGCGTGAGAAATGTATGTGTAGTGCATTTGACCTATTCGGAGCTTATCATATTGATGGTTCCTTGCTCAGAAACGCTATCCATGAGAGGGACCATGAATTGATAGTATTCTTGAACCTCAAATCTATTCAGGACACCCAGCATAGGATCTGCGCGGCCTACAGGATGTCCCATGATATACTCAGAGCATTCAACCGCCTGACACCGGGGCTCTTCCCACTCATGGTTACCTTACATGTGCACTCGATTCTCGAATACGGACTACCCGCCGCCTATGCCCTCACCAACTCCGTATGTGACATACTTGAAAATGTTCAACGGCGTGGATCTACATCCGTCCTTGAGTTGCTGGACTTTTCTTATCCCCTCCGACTTTACCGATTGAACCTGTTCTACCTGAATTACCGTCTTCACCGCGGAAATTTGCTTTTCACCTTACATATTCTTAAAGGAGATATATGTGTTGAACACTTGCCTAACACTACGATTGACAGCGTGCCACAACGTATTAACAACAATAATGAAGGAATAGATAAAGTAAAAAAGGGTAGTATACTACTGCGCTATGGGAGTAGAGTCTCAACACATTCGCCATTGCGCACGGTTTCTTGACAAGTCTGATTGGGTTTCTAGCCCTGTGTGTTCGGGATCTTTGCGCCCCCAATCAGGAGGTCGAGAGCACCCGACCGCGGCCAGCGTCTTCATACTATTGACGCAAGTCATTCGCTGGCCGCATTGTCTTTGATTCCAGCCGACTTCTGTGTGCGCAAAGAATGCACGGTGAGGCAAACACTCCGTAGACATGCGAAGCACGTGCCCTAGTCATCGAAACAGGCGTAGTTAAACTATGCGGCTCAGCTAGCAGCAGTCTATCTAACCTAGAAATCCTTATGCGAACATCCTCATTACTAATGTGATATTGCCATCGTACGCCGGCAATGCTCTGAAGACAGCAGTGATCAAAGGCAGAACATGGCTTTGGGTATGAAGACCGGTGCGAGAAACTAGGATTCTACACCTTGTCCTACCGTCGGGTGAGAGTCGATCTCATTATGACCTACCGTATTCTACATCTCGGTGACTTCCCAATGCTAAGGCCAATGATGCACTTACGAGGGCCATGCAGTACACGCGGACACAGATACAAACTTGTCGTGCCGGATGTGAAATGTGTTCCCCACCCACTGTGCTTCGAACGGAGAGTGGTAAACATTTGGAACAGTTTACCTGAACATGTGATTGAGGCAAAATCTGTGCAACAGTTCAAACTGTTGTTGGATTTGTATTTTGCCACTATTCGATTCAGAGAACGACTGCACACTTACGATGACATATCACATTTGTGAATCCTGAAATATTGTAAGTCAGATATTTTAAATGTTACATTAGAACGACAACGATATTCACAGCTGACAACTTTTGTAACGTTTTTCACCATATTTCGAAAGAGTTGTACAGAATTCATTTCTACTTGCTCTATAATACAGTATTCAGTCATCGAACGTCATTTGCACGAACAAACCGTCTCACAGCCGTAGAGCAGGACCGCTCCCACCGTAGCGTTGTAAACTCGGCCCTTCAAAGACTGACTCAGGTCGCATCGACGCCAATGTCAGAGATTCGCAAAAGCAAACCGAGTCTTAGAGGTACATAAAAATACTTCATCCATCAAAATGTTAGCGCTGATGCAGCTTCCGAGGTTAATTAACTTGTCTCTCACTTCCAGTGAGTGATCTGTACTTCTAAGGGTAGGAGCAGCTCCTATCCAGTCCCTTTCGAAGACCTAACACTTCTAATGAGCGAGTCATTCCAAACTAGGAGATAGACACCTCCAACCTACACAGTATATTTCGGGCGGCCTGTGAACACTCGCAAATTACGGCGATATCGCCCACATACCCCAACTCGCGAACTTGATCCCCCGAAAGCAGCTCAACACCGCTTCGTCCGCAATTCACCAATACGCTTTCCATGATGTAATTCATAGCGAAATTGAACAGGAAGAGTGATGTTGGGCAGCCCTGTCTCACCACTGGTGATACTAAAGGGGTGGGGGGCGAATGTCAACTGAATCATACATGGCTCGTATGTCTAAACAGCGATCGTTGGTTGCCCGAACGTTCGATGACGCTCGAGTATTTGGTGGAGAGTAAAGATGTAATCGTTACTACTCCGGCTAGAGCGGAACCCAGCTCGCTCTTAGCCTATTTTCTGTTCGCAAACCAGGCTGAGCTTCCTTAAAGGAAGGGCAGCGTTTGGATGCAACGCTGATGTGGTTAGCGCAGTCTGTCCGGTCAGCCTTTTTGAAGAACGGCACGATATTCACTAGACTCTACTCAGATAGGATTGCTTCGGTGCTCCAAACCTCTTGGGGGAGGGAAGTTTACTCCCGAACAAGTGATGGACCTCCATCTTTGGAAGAGCCGGAGGGAATCCGTCTGGGACAAGCGCTTTATAGCACTTTAGTGGGTGAAGCTCATGAGAAACGTCGACTTCATATGGGGGTGAAGCGTGTACACACCATACAGCATTCTGGATTCTTGAATTAGTACTCGTCGGTGCTGCTGCCCAGTTGAACTGCTGCTCGAATTCCTCGGTCCAACGCACAAATTGACGTTTTTGGCAGTGGATTCGCCCGCCAATAGTTTCGCACAAAACCGCTTACAGTCGGCCATTTGCCGCCAATGGATCGGATCAAGTGGAAAAGCTTTCGGAAATTCTCCGAGCTGTCCACCTCCATATCAGTTACTCCTTAAGTCCATCAGACCTCGCGATCCTCCCGAAGGAGCTGTTTGAGTTCGGCGTTAGTGGTCCTGCTTTGTGAATTATACTGGAATTGCCTGTCGAGCTTCGAGAAGTTGGAGAGATTATGCAGAGAACTAGTGCTTGACAGGAGAGGAGAGCTTGGGGTGAGTAAAGGGGTACTTTCAACTCAATACTGAGAGTAACACGTGGTCACAGTCTGAAACTGTTCAAACCGAGGAGTTTCCATATGCGCCCAATCTGGCTTATCCACTCGCGTAATGAATGACTGCAGTCAATGCCAAGACAGAGGGTGGTTTCCGACAATTGTTGAATTTTCATTTGTATATGCGGAGATCCTACTGTTTCCAACGCAGCTGCGGCGGTCCTCTGTGGAACCATGTTTCGCAATAACCCAAGCCATCTCCGCAATGATCGGAAGTGATGCAGCTGAGAAAAGGTCTTCGTTATGTTATCATCCGGTGATCCAGAGCGTATCTGGGCATATTACACCGTTTCTTTTCCTATTTTGTTTTTGCCTCCGCAAGTGCTCACAAACACGCCTAAATGGGACGGCTAGCCGACCATCTGTGCGGACAGAGCAACTGGTAAAAGGCGGCTAACAAAGAATCCGGATGATGTTGCTTCTCCGACGTTTTTTCGGGACCTTAAAAGTTGGTGTTTGTTAAACTCTTCTCAGTTTTCGTTCGACCCCATCTGGACTGTGTCCAGACTTGTCAGCCTTGCCTCGTCCGGGACAAAATGGAGCTAGAGAGTGGATACTATTTTGGTCGAGGGGTTACGGAGACAGACGTATCTCGAAGGCATGCTTAGTTTGGATCTACATCCAATGAACTACCGAAGACTTTGGTGAGACCTACTCTTCCCTTACCGTATCTTCATTTGAAAACTTGGGCCAAATTTGTTTTGGCTATTTAGTTCGCTATCATCTTAAGAAGCTACACAAGCCGCACTTTGACCGGATCCGTTCGGAAACTCGGTTATCGCGCAGAGTTATCGAACGCCGGAACTCACTTCCAGAAAATATGGTCAGGGAACCTACGGTTAAGAGTTTTGAGCTTCGGTTGGACACTTTAGGGTGACAACACAAAAGCTTTCCCTTCTGACCCTACTCATCTTCATACTTTGGCTTTATTTTTGCCCTTTTCTTCACTTATTGGTATTATACTTCATTTAAAAACCCTACCTTCTTTACCTTCCTTTTCCTCAGCTTTTTCTTATTTCACATGACCAGCAAGCAAGAACCTCTTGTACAGGAAAGGTGGACAGCAGTCGGTTAACCAATGTGTGATTCGAGTGTCATTTTACATCCATCAGTATGTCAGAGCACTTTATCAATTCCTGGCTCAACGATCTGCTCAAAAAGGCATACTCACGCGATTCTCCTATGGTTCCAGTCCTACTTGGACTTTATAATTTTTTAACATGTACATGTTCTGTTCCACGCGCTATCCATCAATTCGTTTGTGACGTGTTGTCGTTGTTAGCGTACAGAACAGGTCTCTCACTGAGTCCAATTCTAACTCACTGGATTTTACCGTTCGTTGTGTGATAACCGTTGGAATCTTTTATCCCTCGATTTCATAACATCGAATCTACTCCTGTGCCTACTAATATCATTTAACGTTACGTCTATTTCAGCACTCCCCATAAATATGACCAGTACCTTTAAGCCTACCCGATGACGAACTTCCATAATGACGACGTTCTTTCGGTGGAGCAGGAAGAGGCATTGAATTCCCTTCAGTACAAGCTGCAAGACTTAGACCATCCCGATTGCTTATCAAGGCCTAGTCTCATTCGTTGGCTCCGATCGAGAAGTTGGAATGAGCAAGAAGCAGAGAAGATGCTGCGGAAACATATCAATTGGCGGATAGAGCACAATGTGAGAAACCGTAATTGAAGCACCATTACTCCAACCATTCAGTTTTGCTTTCCTCTCAATCTGTAATTAAACGCGGCGTGAACTTGTCTATACCAGCTCTACTACGAGCCGGTAGGACTCGAGCGCACGCCGACTATGATAAGACTTGTATACTTAATAAGCGATGTACTATACCTTTTCTCAGCCAGTTGATTCTATTGCGCTTTCAATTTCCTCCTTAAGGAAGTCGTGTTTTTGAGAGATCATTCAAGGTGGTCCTTAACACTTTCAAGTTGCATCCAACGGGCACAAAAACTACTAAAAATACTTTCTGTCTGTGAAGTGACCAATCTCAAATAAGCAGATCGTATAAGCGCCAATAATGGGATTATATTGTCTGCTTTAGGTTTGGCCACACAATGGATCGTCATCATCATCAACAGCAGTAAATCAGCCATTTGAACTGATGCTTCGCTGCCATACACAACCATGAGGACCTGTGAAATAAAGAATAAGAAGAGGGAGAGAAAGGGGGACTTACCTGAAAACCTTAATGCCCTAAGCAAACATTCTGGGTCAAGGCGCCTACACCTTGTGTAGACAACATACCGTCACAAATAGCTGGCTATCGTGCAAAGGTAAGGACCATAGCATATAGGAACCTTCTTGCCCGTTAGATGCAACTTGAAAGCGTTAAGGATCATCTTGAAAGATCTATGGAGGAACATGGTTTCCTTGTGGAGAAATTTGAAAGCGTGAGGGGTTCATTTGGCTAAGGACCTCTTCACTACAGGTTAAACTTGCTTCAAGTCCTGGACGATTCCTACTTGACCAAGTTTAGCATAACGGAGACTCAGGTATTCAGGCTATTGAAATTGATAAGTTCCTCTAAAGCTTCCGGCCCTGACATAGTTCATCCAAAGTTGTTTCTCGAATTGCCAGCTAAATTACGTAGTCTTCTCACCTACTTGTTTTTACAAACCTTCAACAGCTGTGTCTTACCTTCGCAGTGGATTGAAGCTATCATCTGTCCTATTTTCAAGAGCAGTAAGTTATCTGCCCGCGAGCTACTGAACTGTCAGTTTGTGAAGCGGGGCAGTCAGGTTATTGGAATAATTCATGAGAGATCCAGTTGAATAGATTTATTATTCTCAGTACCGTATAACACAAATTCTTTAGGTCGTTTCTGTCTGACTAATCTGCTGGTACTTTTCGAAAGGTAGGCTGATTTGGTAGACAGCGGCTACCCTGTAGGCATGCTATTGGGGGACTTCTCGAAGTCTTTTAATACTACCTTTCATCCACAGCTCTCATTAAACCTAGGTCTCTTGGGTTTTTTAGTCGCACCCTTAGATGGGTGCCTGCTATTCTGAGGATGAACGAACAGTATCTAAGCGGGGGCCGTAGTTTTTCGCTTGGGCAGTCTTTTCTTAGTATTTTTCCGCATGGCTCAATATGAAAGCCATTGCTGTCCACAGTTTACATAAATAATTTACCTGAGGAGCTTGGGCACCATCGTTACTGTTTGTTGTTGACCTCAAATCCTGGGATGATTTAGATGTTCATGGGGCTTCTGAAGCAATTTAGCTTGCCTTGGATAGACTCAGAGACTGGTCTTTTGATGGAGGTGTTTCGGTGTTGCTGCACTAACACTGACACACCATGACCGGTTTCGTCCTCGTTTGGACACATCAAATGCAGATAGCCTTATGGTTGATGCCCATCGGTCAGATAAAGTATTCTCTTCTTCGTATCGGAGCTGTTTGTCCTCCCATAAGGTGTTATTCTCCGAAGCGAAATCTATCTTGTCACTTAGTAGATAATTTAGGTGTCGTCCATTCATCCCCACTTCAATCTGTCGGCAGTTGGGAGATGGCCGTTTGTAGGGAGTTCTATGTTTTGTGGTTTTGCGGCACATTAGCTGAGGTCTTTCTCATCCTCAACTAACATGCATTGATGATGACGATATTATGTGCTTTATTCACCGCTCCTTCGGAGTCCTAACGGTCGATATGTATGTGAAGTTATTCTCGGCTTTCGTGCGACCGCCATGTCTTATTCTGACAACATGGACTTGGAGAGGGTTTTACGAGTTCGTGGTTTACTGTGTTAGACGTGTCCCGAATGCGTGTTTAGTTTGGGGATATACTCAATATTCTACCGGAAGGTTCGAGGGGACTTGATTCTAATTTACCCTATTTTTTCGGTAAAGATCGGTCCAGATTTGTCTTGGCTATTTCGTCCACTTAAGTTACCTAATCTTCGTGGTCACCCGTTGAAGCTGCACAAACCCTGCTTTGATCGCATTGGGGCGGAAGCTCGTTTATCACGTCGAGTTATAGGGCGCTGGAACTGGCTTCCAGGCCATGTAGTTAGGGAATCTCCGGTTAATGGTTTTGCGCATCAGCTCGACGCTCTTGGGTAGCAACATCAATCATTCCTTCCTCCTAACTTTTCCTCAATTTTCCCATATTGGTACTATAAATATTAAGGTACGTTCTTCTTGGTACCCCTTTTATTGTTTCCTTGTCCTTCACCTAACCTGACCAACAGGGACCATTAGTTCATGATGCATAGGTAATAGGTGGTTGACAAAGATGTGCTGCGGTTTTTGTTTTATGCTCATCCCGATTTCGAAACATCATTTCAACTGATCCAACGGTAAGCCGATGACGTGTGTTGGGAAAATGCCAGTTTTCTCAAGAATTACCCTGGAACCAACAAAAATGTGCATTTATTATTAGCCCTAATTATGGTTTAGCAAACCTATTATTAACCACGTGTTTCATTGATGAAGCCCTAACTTGCCATCAGAATACCTCTCATTCTGAAGTATTTTTTCTGCCTTGTTGGGGTTGATGCTACCGATTTGAAGCCGAATCTGTGTTCCGTTCGTGAGCTGTCATGTTCTTCTTGTTTGTTTACCGTGTCTGTGTGTATTCATACTGTCTTGCGATAGTGGCCATTATATCGTAACAATATTACTTACTTTACTTTACGGCGGCTAGCTCCTGCGACAGGATGAGCCGGCTTCATGAGTGTCGTGAATTGCAACTGCACAAGCGCGGCGGTCGGCGACAAGCTCTACTCAGATGCTGATCCAATGATACCTCCAGTGACGAGTACCATGCACAACATGGAGTTCCAAAAGTTCGACATCCGATTTCACAGCCTTGCTTCACACCAGAAACAACTGCAAAGTCATCCGAGGTCTCTCCACTCAGCTGGACCCTCGCTCGCATACCACTGTGCAGACATTCAATTAAACTTACAAACTTACGCGGGCAACCAAACTTACCCAACACCAGCCACAATGCCTCGCGGTACACCGTATCAAATGCCTTGGTGAAATCAACAAAAAGTGAGTACAATGGTTGGTGTCGTGCTCTGCCCTTTTCCTGCAACTGACGAGCCGCAAACACCATATCTATAGTGCTGCGACCCGAACGGAATCCGCATTGCTCTTCCGCCACGTTAGGTTCCACAACCTGACTGACGAGGCGGTTGAGCAGGAGTCGGGCAATCCCCTTGCCCACACAATTCAGCAAGTTGATGCCACGATAATTCGTGCAACATGGCTTGCTCCCTTTGCCCTTGTGCAGTGGTAGCACAAGGGCATCCTTCAGCTCAGCAGGCACCTCCTCCTCAATCCACACGCGTTGCACCAAGTGGTGTAGCGCAGTCAACAACGCGGGTCCGCCGTGTTTCAATACTTCAGGCGGGATCCCGTGTTCACTGGCACACTTGTCGTTTCGCAGCTGAGCAAGTGCTCTCTGCGTCTCATCCAGTGTCGACGTGTCCGCCAGACTCGTCTTCACATCGTGCTGCTTCAGCCAGTTCAATGTAGGCCAGTCGATCTCTGCACGGTTGTTCAAGAGACAGTCAAAGTGTTTCCGCCAGATTTGCATTATGTCTGCAGTCTGTGTGCAGGTAGCGCCTGAACTACCATCGATCAGTGTCCTCAGCGGCTCCAATTTCGGTCCATACACCGCCTTCAAAGAGTCAAAGAATTCCTTATGTTAGCGGCGTTCGGTATAGCATTCCATCTGCTTCGCCTTCTCCGTCCACCATGCATGTTTAATGTTACGGATAGCTCGGGTCAGTCGCCGTCGAAGTTTGCGAAACTGACTACTCTTCCCCAAGTCACTGGGGTCTGCGACTGTGCAGCAAATGTTGCATTCCTCTCCGACTCCAATGCGCCGATCGTCGCATTGTTGTCATCAAACCAATCAGGCTGCTTACATTTTGTGCGCCGATGGTCTCCTCGACAGCAGCTGTCACCTGATCGTGAATGTGGTGCCACAGGTCGCCCACTGTGGCTATGCCTTCCACATCACACAGGCGTTCAGCCATCGCCTTCTCCAGCTCAGTACGTTTCGCCACAGTACCGAGGGAAAAAATGTTAAATTTACGCCGATTCACGGCGGGAGTGCAATACATAGATTTACGAAAATACATGTACAGTTTGGTCCTCACCAATTTATGATCAGTGCCACACTCAGCTCCACGCAGTACACGTGTCATGCGCACTTCACGCATATCACACTGACGTACGATGACATAGTCGAGCAGGTGAGCGTGACCACTCCGTGGGTGTGTCCAAGTTGATATATCACTCGCACTCAGTGCAAACCGAATGTTCGTGATCGTCAAGCCGTGAGGGGCACACAGTGAGAGCAGTCCGTCACCGATCGCATTCGCTGAACCAATGCCATGCGCACCGATAACATCTGTCCACGCTGATGCATCACGCCCAACGCGCGCGTTGAAATCACCCAGCAGAAATAGTCGGTCACTCCTCGACCCAGACTGTATCACGGAGGATAGCTGAGTGTAGAATTGATCACGCGTATCATCACGATAACACATGGCCGGACCGTACGTGCTTATAAAAGTAGCAAACGTACCTCTTCCGAGTCGTAGGCGAACAGTCATCAGTCGCGCGCTGATGCCCGTTGGTTCACCCACCAGCTGGCCATTCAGGCGATCGGATATTGCAAATCCGACCCCATGTTCACGTG